TTAACTTGTCTTTTGCTGGCTAGGCTGATAGTAAATAGAGTGTTGTATTGTGACAGTTTTGCCCACAAAACACAGTCAAAACTGCTTTACAGTATATGCTGCGCAGCGCTTTGAGATATCTTGATGTGATAAGACACTGTATCAAATGCAAGGTGATTATTATTATTAGAGATGAGGTGAGCCATTAACTCTGTAGTAAGCAAAACAGATTTGAGAAGTCCCTACCCAATCTTTTCATAACAACACATTTTCAGGCTGGCAGTCTTGAAGGAAACTCCATGTCCAGTTATAATAATGGGAAACATTTTGTGCATAATAAGCTCATGCAAACCCATCCAATTTTGGCCATCACAATGCACTCCTACTGCACGTTACTCTCTTCAACAACAAGATTATATTGTATGGCGCCTTTCACGTCAGGAGGACATCTCAAGGCGCTGGACAGAGTACAGCATTTCAGACCCGAGCTGGGGTCAGGGAGGGAGAAGGGAGGGGAAGGGGGGTGGCCGATAGCATGGTCGAAGAAGAGGGTCTTGAGGCGGGACTTGAAGGAGGATAAGGAGGGGGCGAGGTGGAGTGACTGGGGGATGGAATTCCAGAGGTTGGGGGCAGAGTGGCTGAAAACTCTCCCATCAATGGTGGGGTTGTGGGTCGGGGGACGTGGAGCAGCCAGAGCTGGCTGAGCGGAGGGAGTGGGCGGGTTGGTAGGTGGTTAGGAGGTGACAGAAGTAGGGCAGGGTGAGGCCATGGAGGGCTTTGTAGGTGAGGACCAGGATCTTGAACTGGATCCTCTGAAGGATAGGGAGCCAATAGAGTCGGGCGAGAATGGGGGAGATGGGGTCACAGATTTGGTGCGGGAGAGGACACGGACTGGAGTACTAGATTAGCTGCATCTGTGGAGATCGGAGTTGGGAAGGCCATCAAGCAGAGCATTTGCATAGTCGAGCCTGGAGGTGATGAAGGCACGAACAAGAGTTTCAGCGCCTGAGGGATGAGGTAGTGGCGGAGTCGGGCGATGTTACGGAGGTGAGGGAAGGCAGAGCAGGTCATGACTTGGATGTGGGGAAGAAGACAGTTGAGGGTTGAACAAGACACCCAGGTTCCTGACTGGCGGTGAGTTGAAGTGTGCAACCATGGAGGTTGATGTTGCCAGAGCCTGAGGTGCTGGTGTGAGCCAATCAGGAGGGCCTCAGTCTTGTTCACATTCAACTGTAGGAAATTTGCCCTCATCCAGGACTTGATGTCCGACAGACAGTCTGTCAAGACAGCAGTGGTCCTGGAGTTGAGGGTGGGGGCAGAAAGGTAGAGTTGGGTGTCATCCGCGTACATGTGGAAGTTGACCACATATTTGCGGATGATGTCACTGAGGGGGAGTAAATAGATATTAAAGAGGAGACAAGGACAGAGTCCTGGGGGACGCCAGACGTGACAGTGCGGGGGCTGGAGGAGAAACCGTTAGAGGCAACAAAGTGGAGACAGTGAGAGAGATAGAAATCGATCCAGGCAAGGGCATAATCTAACAGATCTTTATTGTTAAGAACATTATAAATCTTGAAAAATCTAAATGTTTAGATGGTATTCAGAACCACATTGGTTCTTTCTGTTAGTTTTTGATGATATCTGAACTTCTTGATGCATTAGAGCCTTGTAAAATGTACCAAAGTATCTTTCATGTACATTTCCATTTTCCATGTACAGTATAAAACAGTTCATTACTGAAATAGTAAGTCAACTGTTACAACAATGGAGTCCTGTGGCTCAGTGGTTAGAGCACTCGCTTTGCAAGTGAGAGACCTGAGTTCAATTCCAGGCAGAGGGCGAAACCTTGGGCAAGTTTCCTTACTCTACACAGAGCGTAATATTAATCCCTCCAAAACCAAAAACAATAATAAATTGGTCATTTTCAATCTACGACTGTTTGTGGGACATTGCTGTGCGCAATTGGCTGCCGCGTTCGCCCACAAATATACAGTCAATTCACTTTACAGTGTGTTCTGTGAAGCGCTTTGGGACGTCCTCCCGACGTGAAAAGCACTATATCAAATGCAAGGATTATTATTATTATTATATAACAACATTCCCAATGCCTACTTAGGCAACATTCCAGAGAGCACACAGCACCTTATAATTGTACCTCACAATGACTGAGCACTGCAAGAGATGGGGAGGAACTCGGAGTGGAGAAAGGGGGGCAGGGGAGGAAGAGTTTATGAACAAAATATGAATTTAATTAGTCTGGCAACCAAAGACATCAATACCTGAACCTTTGCAGATAGACTAATTCGACACCAAACAGGCTATTCAGTGGCATTCTCCACAAGAGCCCCCCACACCCCTTCTCTATCAAGTTTCCAAGTAAATACATTGATACAAAGTCATCAATGCCTCGGTCACTAATTGCCATGGAATACATCACAATTTTAGTTAAAGCTACCACTTCCTTGTGACATTTTTTAAAAACGGTTCCCATTGTAAAACGTAAATCAAACTTCTGAATATTTCTCCCGCACACAGCAAGCACCGCAGGCCGGACTCTCCTCATCTCTTTAATACTGTCAAATTTTGTTTTTAAATGAATAGGATCAATGGTCAAATATCTCCCTTGTATTGATGTCTCAGGTGATACAATTGATGAATATAAACACTATATAACCCATCATTATAACAAGCTGTTAGGAGATAAACCTTACTGTATTGTATCAGCCTGTATCTCACTTCCATTAGCCACAATTTGATGGTTAAAATTTTGGTTAAAACAATTCAACTATGACAATTGTTTAACAGGAAACTTCAATATAAATAAAATTCAGATGTGATTTATGTAAATGGAAAATATGAAGCCAAGTTTGCAACACTTAATATTCAGTGATAACACACAAAAACTCGTCCATCGCTACTATTCCTCCAGTTTTACTAGAATACAGTTCCACAAGCACTTGAGCGATTGACATAGCACATTAGCTAATACATTGAAACATCTCAACACAACTACTTTAAAGCATCGTGACTACATGTAAGCAAATGTTATGGCTAATCTACACCAGCAACATCCCACAAGCAGCGAGAAAATTCACCTTTAACAAGACATATCAGACACCCTACAAGTATGGACTCCATTGATACAAATTCAATTTAGAATATTCCGTCAATTGTGTAAACTCCTGAAAAATGTCATTCAATTCCCAACTATTTCTGACATGACACACGAGAATTTGGGTCAAGAGTTTCAAGTCCCTGCATGCTTTGGACCAGCAAAAATCCTGACCTAAAACATTCTTGCTTTGGAAAACATTCTCCAAAAAAAGTCTTTAAACGTCATTAAAATTCAACAGCAGTATTACGATCAATGGTTTTAAAACATTCCGTGCAAAAACCCTGCATCTATCCAGAAAGAAACAACTCCTATTGACAGCTTTTAGTACACCAGTCCAGTAGTGAAATTTATATGGGTTAACTGGTACCAGATCTAAACAATATGGAAACTCTTTTGAAGAAAATATGCATCCAGTTCTATTTACTCAAAATTAATGGAAGATGTGGGGATGGAAGAATATTTAGGTCGCCCAATCAACTTTAGAAATCAGAGCATCTATAACAGATCATTCAATAACTTGCAGAGTGCCTCACATTGACGGTGACACCTTTAAAGGGACAAGGAGATGACTGTAGGTGCAATCAAAGAGGTAGGTTTGTAGGTGGGATTTTAGGATGATATGAGAAGAACAAGAAAGAGGGATAGAGAGAGGAAATTCCATTCCTCCCCAGAAATAAAATGTGTGCGCCAAGTCCACAATAGAGTAGATAAATATAATTTCAGATCCAGCTCAATATATGCCAAATGGGCTTCTCACTTCTATACTCACTTCAGGGACCCAATGCCCCTGAATAAAGAAAAATAAGAAACACAGGTTTTGCTGTCAAGGAAGAAAACGTTAAAGGAAGAAATCTCAGAGCATGGAAATGATACACATGGTACACCCCAGACTATATATGGAAGGACCAGAACACAGAAAGAGAAAGTAGCACAGAGGAAATTTAGGCTAGATAAAAGAAAACTATTACAGAGCTGCTTACTGAGCTAATGAAAGCAAAACCTGGTGTTATTCAGAATACAATCTGAAGAGTTAATGAATGGACTGAAGGCATAAGGTCCAGGAAGCCTGATGGCCTCTAGGCATAAAGAGGGTAAGCAAGTCTCACACAAACAAACATTTGTCCAAGGTTAGGTTTGACAAGTCAATATATTTTTAAGGTGGGGGTGGGAGCACAAAAGTCTTTTGTGAATGTACTAAAGTACTGGGGCTGCCATTCACCCAAACGTTGCTTTAAAAGAGAAAGGTTTTTAACTCCAAATACACGCCAAAGAAAACGCCAACTTGCATTTATATAGCACCCTTCATACAGTATAGAGACTCAGAGCGTTGAAAACACAGGCCGTCTGCATTGTGTAAAGATGGGGGGAGAAAGAAAAGGGGAAAGGCTAGGATTGCGGATTTGGAGTCGTGATTAAAGGCTGGAGATTGATACCAGAGGGAGAGAAAGGAGGGCAACAAGAAAGGTTTCTGGAATAAGTGAGAGGAGAGAAGAGTGAGGCGAAGCAGGGGAGGGAAGAAGAGTGAGGAAGAGAAGGGAGACGAGAAGAGAGGAGAGTGAAAGGGGAGAGAGAGGAGGGGAAGAAGCGAGTGAGGAAGGGGAAAAGACGTGGCTCTGCGGAGTAAGATGGTAGTTTTTAAAACGAAGGGAATGAAAGGCGACGGCAGAGAAGACCTTGGCCTCTCCTCCCCGATAGGGCTCACACCGAGTGAGTGAGAAGGGAGGAGACGGGGGGAAGCACAGACATGTTTTTAACATATATGTACAGCGAGAAGGGCCGCGCTGACTCTGGCCGCCATCGCCCTGTCTGTCTCTCCAGTCCCCGCCAGGCCAGGCCAGGCCAGGCTTGGCTTGGCTCCGGGCCCCGGCCCGGCCCGCTGCCTCCCTCCCTCCCTCCCAGTCCTTACCGGATTACAAACATGCCCCCGGCACAGCTCGCTGCTCGCTCCCCGGCCGCCATGGCCCATGAAGAAGACGGTTGGTGGCGGGCGAACTTTTCACATAGATTTATTTTAACGTCTCCTCGGTATCGGTGTACCACGCATCTTGCTGGTCGTAATCGTCGTCGTCTCCCTCCTCCCTTTTACACTCCCTCCCTCCCTCCCTCTCTCCCTCCCCCCGCCTTCCTTTCCTTTCACATGGCCCCCGGACGGGGAGGAACGAAGACGCGGCAGCGGGAACGAGCGGTTTCTGTTTATTTAGATTAACCTGAGGGAATGTCGTATTTAAAAAACTCTTACAGTACGGTGGGGACTATGACGAGGGCAAACATGTTGTAAATATAAGGGGAGAGGCCGCTTTTAAAGACGGGGGGACGAAAAAGAGCTAAAGTGCGCCACGGAGGAGATAAACACAAAATGGCGGCGGTGGTTTTCCCCCTCACTCTTGCGCGTGCGCGGCTCTTTAACGGCTGTCGACAATTCCTCGTCGCCGCCAAAAAAAAGTAAATGAATGGATCGGTCCTAATCCGCCCTCCCGGTCGCCGAACAGCCTCGGAAGCGCGAAACCAGAAGTAAACCGAGTGTCAAAGTGCTGCTGAAAGGTTTTGGGATATATTTTTTAAAAATAATGATTGAGGTGAGTTTTACCCACAAGGCGCCGCGGCGCGGAAGTTGAGCATCAATGAGAGGTCGCGGTGCTGTCGCTCTCTCTCTGTCTCTCTCTCACACACCGCGCGCTCTCTCCGCCGCCGCTTATTATTATATATTTACATAAAGCATTTCCTGCTAAAGACTGGACTCGGTGAAGGTGAAGCGTTTGTTTTCTTGTCCCCGTTTTTATATAAAATCCTGTGATTTAAACGGCTTTGTCGATTCGCGTGACCGACCGACCGCGCTTTCGGGGCATTTTTCTCCCCACTTTTCTTTCCTACTGCCTCACTCCCTCCCTCCCTCCCTCCCTCACTCACTCACTCACTCACTCCCTTCCTCACTCGGCTCTCAACAGCCCCGAGTGAGTGAAGGAGTGAGAAGGAGAATGAATTGGACCCCCTCCCCCTCCCCCTCCCCCGTCCTTACGAGCAGAGATTTGAGCGGAACCTTTCCCTTTTTTGAAAGTTTGAGGGGTGACCTCTGATTGATGTCTTTAAAATGATGAGAGGTTTTGAATGGTGTTAATAGGCAGAGATTAGTATAATTATAACCATAATCTTACCCAGTGGTCGGTGAGCGAGTAACTGCAGGGAATCAATTTAAGAAAGCGAATGGGGAGGTCAAGAGAATCGTTTTTTTAACGTTACAGAGATTAGGATATGGAATGTTAGTGCTAATTGAGGCAGAATCCATGTCAGCTTTCAAAAAGGAGTTAGATTAGATATCTAAAGCGGAGTGAATGCCGGGCACGGGGAAAGGGCAAGCAGGACATCACAGAAACGATGGGCCAAATTACCTTCTTCTATGCTATAGATATCTTAATTCGATAGGAGAGAGAGGTTTCTATCTAAACTTGCCTGTTCACTGTTGAGACTGAGACTTTTTTTGAGGGAGAATTTATTTTTTGTTAGTGAATCGCAACAGCCAATTGCGCATAATTTAAAATCTGTCTTCAGTGTCAAACTACGCCATTGTTCAGGGCTACGAGACACTACCCTGTGTAAGGGTGCTATACAAATGCACATTGCTGTTAATGCACATACAAATGCAAGTGTTGGGTTGATGCCTTTCTCCTGTTAATGCAATGTGCCCAGACGTACCCTTAGCAACCAAGGGAGAAACCCTTGGCAACTGAGGGAGAAGCCCTTAGCGATCAAGGGTTCATAGCAACTGAGTGAGATGCTCTTAGCAACAGAGAGGGATCATAACAACCAAGGGGGTCCCTTAGCAATGGAAAAGAACCATAGTAATTGAGAAAGAAGTCCATAGCAACCAAGTGAGAAGCTTAGCAACCGAGGGGGTTCATAGTAACTGAGGGAGAAGCCCTTAGCTGCAGAGAGGGATCATAGCAAATGAGGAGGTTCATAGCAGCCAAGGGAGACTGCCCTAGCAAGCGGTTTTATGGAATCTGTTGTGTTTAATAATAACAATCCTTGCATTTACTATAGCACCTTTAATATAGCAAAACACGGCAGCCAATTGTGCACAGCACTGTCCGACAAACGGTCTTTAAAATTTTAATAAAAGAGTCCTGTCCCCAATGCTCTGGTCATTAATAAGAGTAAATAATTTGCTGGTTTCAAGCCATTGTTAACATTTTGGTGAATTGCTGGATGACAGTTGAGGTTGACTCTTGACCTCCGCAAAGATGAGACGGAGGCGAGTGTGTGAGAAGTAGAGCAGACACTGAGCTGCTCATTCATTCGTCTAGTCACAGAAAGATGAGAGCTTGAAAGAAGCCCCTCAGTAGATAGAAATCGGAGGCATCTGACATTCACCTCCATGGCTAGGCTTGTTCTCTGTTTTCCCCCCATTCCCCCAGTGAAAACATTGTTGTACTCTCCTTCAGGTTTTCCTGTCAGCAATTTGTATCTGTCCAGATTAGATACTGAGAAGCTCACAACAATACCCACACTCCAGAAAGATAACTTGCTTAAGGCTACCAATCCATGGCTTTTTTTTAAAACAAAACAGTGTTTTGTGTGCCAGAAGTGACCCATCTAAAGTATTTTGTATTTATAATTTTGTAAAGCAATATTAGCAAAATCTGTCGATGCATATAATTGTATTACGCTGGCATTGTATGTTAACAAGATTTAACTTGAGCAAAGCCGATTAGAAGTCAGATCAAATGTTTCTTTGCACAGGGAATTGGGTGGACTGCATACACAGCAATGGAACAGGCAAATTGTCCCAACTACTCTGTGCCGATGTTTATAATCCATTGGAGCCTTCCCCCAGCCTGATTTTCTCACGTCCTGTAGATTCACCATATAAATGCAAGTCATTCTTGTCTAGTCTTCTTTTGCCCCAGCTATTGTCATCATAATAAGAATAAGGCTGACATTTGGTGTAGCGCCGTTAACCTCATACATTGATACCTGTGCCAGGGGGAGGCTCACATTGTCTTGGGGGTAAATAATGCTGTTACACAATAGCTCGAATGGAAATGGCCTCTGTGTGTGTTGCAGGAATGATGCCGTTGGAACGTCTGAGAAAAGTGGCCAAGCTTGCTAAAACGGTGAGTCCTGTGCTAATTATCTAATGTAACAACACATGACATTTACATCGCTTTTTCACGTTGCAGTTTGTGCCTGCTCAAGCATCTATTAAAGATCCTGCAGCGCTGTTCGGAAAGATAATGTTCCTGAACTTTGTTTGCTTCTAGGCCGGCTGTGCCCGCTTCCTCCACTGCAGTCCCCGCGCGTGGGAGACCTGTACCGCAGTGCAGAGCGACACAGCCACAGAAACGCCCAGGGCTGTGTTCAGGACCAGTGAAACAGACCCAGTGAGTAACGCACACATACATATGCGCACACGTACGCACGCATTTACACACAAAATGCACAGCACACACACGCGCAACAAACGCACACAAGTTAGTTGGCAGCTTCTTGGAGGAGTGGACACTGATGTGAAAAACTGAATGGCCTCCTCCTGTGTTGCGTACCTCTGGGCTGGAAAGCTCCACTGTGCAGTGACAGTGTTAAATGAGAATGTAACGTGGCGTTTATTTGCAGGCAAATCACCAGCAACTCCACAAGGGGCTGCACTACACCATCCCACCCAGCGATCTCAAATCTGCCTTCCCTCATGGCCTGCCACGGCGCTTCCAGCAACAGGTATGCCACAGGCCTGTATAGTCCAGATCCAGTGACAAAAAGCTCTGCCTCTTTCTCGCTATCTCATATGTGTGATGCATGTCTTGATCTCTGGTGTGTATGTCTCCTGTAGGAAATCCTGTATTTGGATTTCCAGAAGGCATTCGACAAGGTGCCATATAAAAGGCTGTTGCATAAGATTAGAGCCCATGGAATTAAAGGTAATATATTAGCATGGATTGGAGAGTGGCTAATAGGAAGAAAACAGAGAATAGGATTAACAGGTCCTTCTCAGATTGGCAAGTTGTGAGTAGTGGAGTGCCGCAAGGATCAGTGCTTGGGCCTCAACTGTTTACAGTCTATATCAATGATTTAGATGAGGAAATAGAGCTTAATGTATCTATATTCGCAGACGATACAAAGCTCGGTGGGAAAGTAAGCTGTGAGGAGGACACAAGGATGCAAAGGGATATAGACAGGTTAAGTGAGTGGGCAAGAAGGTGGCAGATGGCTTATAATGTGGGGAAGAGTGAAGCTATTCACCTAGGTAGAAAAAATAGAAAAGCGGATTATTTTATCGAGGGGGAAAGACTAGATAGTATTCGTGTTCAGAGGGATTTAGGTGTCCTTGTTAAACCAATCACAGAAAGTTAGTATGCAGGTACAGCAGGCAATTAGAAAGGCTAATAGCATGTTAGTGTTTATTGCAAAGGGGTTAGAGTACAAAAGTAGGGAAGTCTTACTGCAATTGTATAGGGCCTTAGTGAGACCGCACCTGAAATATTGTGTGCAGTTTTGGTCTCCTTATCTAAGAAAGGATATACTCACATGAGAGGGAGTGCAGCGTAGATTCACTGGGTTGGTTCCTGGGATGAGGGGGTTGAGTAAACTAGGCCTATATTCTCTAGAATATAGAAGAATTAGAGATGATCTTATAGAAACCTATAAGGGTCTTGACAAGGTAGATAGTGTGAGACTGTTTCCCCTGGTTGGAGAATCTAAAACTAGATTCTCAGGATCTAGATTTATAGTCTCAGGATTAAAGGTCAGCCTTTTAGAACTGAGTTGAGGAAACATTTCTTCACTCAGAGGATAGTGAATTGATGGAATTCTCTACCCCAGAGGCTGTGGCTGCTCGGTCATTGAACATATTCAAGACTGAGGTTGATAGATTTCTAAAGGATAGCGGGATTAAGGGATATGGGGATAGGGCGGGTAAATGGAATTAGGTTAGAAGATCAGCCATGATCTTATTACATGGCAGGGCAGGCTCGAGGGGTCGAATGGCCTTCTCCTACGTCTTATGGTGTCTCTCTCGCTCTCTGCTTTAGGCTGTTGGTGAGGCATATGTGTGATGCTGTGTGTATATCCTCTGTGTGTGTGTGTGTGTATCCCCTCTGTTTCTCTCTGTATGCACCCTTCTCTGTAAAACCAAGCGCAGCCCTCTCTGTTTGCTTGCGTCTCTCTATTTCAGACGCGAGTGAAGCAGGCATCTGATTCTCTCTCTCTCTGTTGTGTTCCAGGTGAAGACTTTTGGAGAGGCGTGTTTGATGGTCAGGCAGCCAGCACTGGAGCTCATCAGTTATTTGAAAGCAACCAATTTCTCATACCCTGCCATCCGCTATCTGATCTGTATCCTTTTCACTTCAAAACTAAAGCCAGGAAAGAAAAGATGAGATCTTAAACCAAGGTCCCGTCTGCCTGTTCAAGTGGATGTTAAAGATCCCATGTCACGATTCGAACAGAGAAGGGAGTTTCTCTCCTGGTGTCCTGGCCAACAATCCCCATAAAATAAAAATTGGTTACTCTCGCCATGGCTGATTGTGGGACACTGCTGTATGCAATTGGCTGCTGCGTTTCGCCCACAAAATACAAAGTCACTCCACTTAACAGTATGTCCTGTGAAGCACTTTGAGACATCTCAATGGCATGATAAGGCTATATCAAATGCAAGGATTTTTAAGTTATTTAAAAATTAAATTTATTAAAAGTGAAAATTTATAATTTTAAAATTAAATTGTTTAGAATTATTTAAAAATGGGAGTCATGCTAGGAGATTGCTCTCTGGTTAAAACATGCCCTCCTGTTTAAGCAGTTAAGCATGATCAACAACTTGCATTTATATACCGCCCTTCACACATGGTAGTGTCTCGGAATGCTGTGTAAGATAAAATGCATCTACGTGGAGTCCTGTAGCTCAGGGGTTAGACACTCGCTTTGCAAGCGAGACACCTGGATTCAATTCCGGGCAGGGCGAAACCTTGGGCAAGTTTCCTTACTCCACACGTCTGATAATAATCCCTCCAAAACAAAACAATAATAAATTGGTCATTTTCAATCCACGACTGTTTGTGGGACGCTGCTGTGCGCAATTGGCTGCCGCGTTTCACCCATAAATATATAGTCAATTCACTTTACAGCATATTCTGTGAAGCGCTTTGAGATGTCGAGAAGACATAAAAAGCGCTATATCAAATGCAAAGATTATTATTATTTATTATGTGGCTCAGTATCCCTTGTCCTTTCCTTGATCTCTCGGTTTTCAGATGGTCAGAGAGGGTGTGGGAAAACACTCACACTGTGCAACGCTGTCCATTACTGTGCCAAGCAGGGCTGGCTCATTCTTCATGTTCCGGATGGTAAGTGGCATTCCATGTTACCTTGGCTTTCATTCGCGTACTTTCTCTTTAATGTCTTGTAAGTCATCTGAAATCTCCCATCCCAGAGAGTGGCAATAATGAGGAGAGGATTTGGGGGGGTGGTGGGTGGGCGGACAGTTATTACCCTTGATGTATCAGGACATGATTTTCCAGGGCCTTATTGAGAATGGGGGAGTATTGCTGTTCATGCCCACCAGCTGGTGCTTTTAAGCTGTATGTGGCTCTGTGTCCCTCTGGTGGCAGTAACAACAATATCAGCTGACGAAATTGACCTTGACTCCATCTCTTCCAAGTTTACCAGATTCCCTTGATGTATGTCTAAATTCTGTAAACCTACACCAGTTAAAACCATCCACATGGAGAGGTGGGGAGGTTGGGACCCATGGGTTTGCTGCTGTGTGTGTAGCCGAGCAGGCTCAGTATCACTAGTTGTCTGTTTTTCCCCGGTGACAGCCTACATATGGGTGAAAAGCCATAAAGAGCTGCTGCAGTCATCCTACAACCAGGCTCGCTTTGACCAGCCCCTCGAGGCCTCTGTCTGGCTTAAGAATTTCAAGATTACAAACGAGCGCTTCTTAAAGGAGGTAATGAAGTTGTTGTTATCCAGCTAGCTTGGCGCTGTACTACCTGTCAGAACTCCATCCCACGGTCCCTTGCCTCCTTCAAGGCCCATCTCAAGACTCTGAGATGCCATCCGGCGTGGAGGGCGCTATATAAATCCAAGTTGTTGTTGACTCTGGGTTGGTGGGAGGCGAGCGGCAGCAGCCCCCCCTCCTCCCCCCAACCCCGTGACTGTATCCACGCTGACTTTTTACAACAGCTTCTAAATTAAGATGCAACTAAACTTCTCCACGATTGTGCATCTCATTAAAGCAGCTGAACAATTGACATCTAATTCAGATTTTGTCTGAACAGATAAAAACCCGGCAGAAGTACATCTGGAGCAAGCGGGAGGCAACAGAGGAGGGGAGGCCGCTCGGTGAAGTGGTGGAACAGGTGAGGGGGGGGAGGGGCTTCACATTGCGCTATCAGAACCCCCCATGCCCTCGCATGGGGGACAAGAGGGGGAGCTAGAAATAAGATCTGCTTGGCTCAGTCGCTTAAGCTCTGGCCTCTGAGGTTGGGGACTCTGAGCTCACAGCCTAGGCTGATGATCCAGCACAGTTTTGGGGTGAGAGAGCGCCGTATTGGAGGAGGCGCTGTTCTTTGGATGAGATGTTGAACCTCACTCCCTGTCTGTGTCAAGTTCAGACGGAACTTAAAGATTTCCTGCGGTGCTGTCGGGAAAAGAGAAGGGAGTTTTTCTCTCTCTCTCTCTCTTTCCCTCTCTTTCCCAGTGTCCTGACCGACAATCTCCCAAATAATTCACTCATTCATTTCATAGCTGGTTGCTGTGTTTGCTTATTTCAAAAGAAAAGTCCCTTTTATATGACAGCAGTTCCCTGGGAAGCACTTTGAGATGTTTTGATGTTTTAGGCACCAGATCAAGTGCAAATACTTTCTCTATTGTATTCGTAGATGCCTTCACTGGTGCCAGGAGTGTGAAATGCTTGTGTATGGTTACAGTGTGTGTGTGTGTGTGCTGTGGCTGAACTGTCTCCTCCCTGCAGGGACTGACGAGGGTAAAGAGTGCTAGCGACGCAGTCGGAGTCCTGTTCAAGGAGCTGACGGGACAGTGCTCACCAGACACCTACCGCCTGCTGGTGGCCATCGATGGGGCCAACGCTCTTTGGGGACCCACCACCATGAAGAAGGAGGACAGGAGCCAGGTATTGCCTCGCATTCCTGTTTCTACGTCCTGAAGCACTGGAACACTCTCCCTGTATCCCTCCGCTTCGCCCCTTCCTTCCCCATCTTCAAGTCGCTCTGTTTTCACAGATTCTCCCACACGAGCTGACACTGATGCACAATTTGAAGAAGCTGGTGAACAATGACTGGGTAAGTCTGAGAGCATGGCCTCTCCCTACAGCACCGCATACTCCCTGCACCAATGCTCTGTGTGTATGTACATGTGTGCGTATCGGCGTGTATGTATGTACACGTGTGTATGTATGCATTTGCAGTATTTTGCCTCAGTGTGAGTCCACCCACAAAATATACAGTGAAATCACTTTACAGTCTATTCTGTGAAGCGCTTTGAGACGTCTCGAAGATGTGAATAGGCGCTATATAAAATGTAAGGATTATTATATTATTACCTGGCGGGTATGACCTAATCCTGTTCTCTACTGCTAGTGTGCTGGAGCTGTTGTGATGACACTGACCAAGACTGGGGCGCTGGGTTCCTCCCACCTTTCCCATCTACCCCACGATCTGCTTAGAAAGGTGAGCAATCTGGGCCCGGATTGACTGTGAAGCTCCTCCCTGGGCACCCTCCTCTTTGACTGTGACTTTAGCCACCCTCCCTGCCCTCCAGCTCAGGACGAAATCCCTGACTGTTCAGCGCTTTGGGACGTCCTCCGTACATGAAAAGCGAAAAATGTAAATGTAATTTGTTGTTGTTGCACTGCGCTCCCTGACCGTAGCCCAGCATCTTCTGCTCGTGACTGACCCTATGACCCTATCTCTCTCCTTTCTCTCTCCCTGCCCCCCTAACCCCCCACACACACACTTCTAACCTCCGCAGGAAGGCTTTGATACTCTGGACCCTTTTGTTCCGATTGAAGTTGGGGATTACAATGAGAAGGAGTTTGAAAGCTGCTATCAGTACTACGTAGAACGCAAGTGGATCCAGCATGAGAAAGGTAAGGAGGGAGGGAGGGAGCAGTGCGGACTGTGGGAGGAAGCTATTTACTCTTTGTCTCCCTCCCCCCCCCCACCTTCTAGTTCTTTTGCCACCAGGCAGTAGTTTCCCCCCATGTACCTTAATCAACGTCTCTTCGAACTTAGAAAACCTCAATCAGAGAAGTCTTCTGTAATACGAGTGTACCGAGCTGGGATTGTTGGAATCATTCTGCCTCTTTACGGACTAATTCTCTGACTGCCTTTCCATGCACACACACAGCTCACACAGAGGAGGGGAAACAGGAGCTGCTCTTCTTGTGTAACTACAACCCAGGAATGATGGATAGAGTCTGCAGCTTCCTCTAAGCCCTGGAGCAGGAGGAACCTGTCCATTTGCTACATTCTTTATTTCTCTCTTGTCGACTGTGGAGTAAGATGTCACTGAGTCTGCCCACCCATCAGTCAGCGTTCTGCTCCACCAGCCACAGCAGCAAGCGCCGGTCACTGCCTGGCTCACTGAATCGGTAGAGATTCCCTGCCAGCCTGACGTGAGATGTAATCTTGTGAAGTATCGCCTGGGCTGGGAGAGTCGTCTACCTTACAGACTGCAATGAACGCTGTGTTCACTCTGTAATGGATCTCTGCATCAGAAAGCTGCAAAACTGTAATCCTGGTCTGCAATAAACGCGGTGCCTGATGTCTCAACGTCTCTTTCACATGTCTCCTTCATACTGGTCTTGCCTCAACAACAAATTACATTTGTATAGTGCCTTTTGTGGCAGGCGTATGCATGTATTTGTGTGTGTGTGTGTGTGTCAAGGCTGCAGAGTTGTTTTTAATGGAAACCATTTTAATCCTCATTTTCCAAATATGAGTAAGAAAGCTGTGAGAAAAATGTGAATGTGACAAGAGTGAATATAAAGGTGGATGTTGGGGAGGGGGGAGTGAATGTGAAAGATGTGACGAAAGAGAGGAAAGGGACAGAAAGTGGGTCCTTCCTCCCTACTACATATCCTGGCAATTGCCACTTACCTATGAGTATAAAAAAATGTCAAAAACACTCAAAAATGACTAAAGAGGCTCAATTCAGAGATCTGTCTCAAGACTTTTCTCTCACTCCCCCTCCTGAATCCATCCTCCAGTTTAGGTTTAAACTTAGCAGGGAGAGACAACTCTCCCAGCCCAGGCGAGACTTCACAAGGTTACATTACATCTCACATCAGGCTGGCAGGGAGTCACTACTGCTTCAGTGAGCCAGGCACCCAGCACCTTGGGAGGCCCTCCAGATGTGAAAGGTGCTGTATAAATGCTGTATACATTTGTTCCTTTTATGCAAATCTGGGGAGTGAGCACGAATTCTACACTATGAGACCAAAGAATAAACAACAACAACAACATAAAAATAAAGAATAAGATATATTTAGGGCTCCCACTCTCCCTACAATTGTCTACCAAGTTGAGTCAACATAAAACTGGACCTTTACTGGGAACTTGTGAAGTGTAAGTGGCATCTATCTGTGCAGCGAGGCCAAGCGGAACCTCTCGGGCTGGTTCCTGCTGCATTCCGGGATGGTGCAACTGCAGAACCTGACCCTCCTTCAGCCGAGCTGAGTGGACGGTGAAGGCAAGGGAAGCAGCGTGAGAGCGACCAATGGGTTACGGCGACGTTTGAGTGGTGTGTGCGCCGACCAGTTACAGACGAGGTTGGGATGAGTGGCGTGTGGCCTGACCAATCAGAGTCGGGGGTGGCAGCGGTGTAACTTGAACCAATCAGAGTCAAGGAGGAGGGAATTGCCGGTGAGGCAGTGCAAGTGGAACGTGCGCGCGGGGTGACAGTTAAAAGCGGCGGTTGGCGGGGAAGGAGGGACGGGGCAGGAGGCTGCCATGGGCAGCGTGTGGCGGGAGGTGCTGACCCTGCAGCTTGGCCATTACAGCAACTTCGTGGGCTCGCACTGGTGGAACATTCAGGTCAGGGCCTGAGGGAGAGAGGATGGGAAAGGGGGAGATGATGATGATGAGGAGAGATGATGATGGTGAGAAATGATGAGGAGGAGGAGAGATGATGATGAGGAGGAGAGATGATGATGAGGAGGAGAGATGATGATGAGGAGGAGAGATGATGATGATGAGGAGAGATGATGATGAGGAGGAGAGATGATGATGGTGAGAAATGATGAGGAGGAGGAGAGATGATGATGAGGAGGAGAGATGATGATGGTGAGAAATGATGAGGAGGAGGAGAGATGATGATGAGGAGGAGAGATGATGATGAGGAGGAGAGATGATGATGAGGAGGAGAGATGATGATGAGGAGGAGAGATGATGATGATGAGGAGAGATGATGATGAGGAGGAGAGATGATGATGAGGAGGAGAGATGATGATGATGAGGAGAGATGATGATGAGGAGAGATGATGATGATGAGGAGAGATGATGATGAGGAGAGATGATGATGAGGAGAGATGATGATGAGGAGAGATGATGATGAGGAGGAGAGATGATGATGAGGAGAGATGATGATGAGGAGAGATGATGATGATGAGGAGAGATGATGATGAGGAGGAGAGATGATGATGAGGAGGAGAGATGATGATGAGGAGGAGAGATGATGATGAGGAGGAGAGATGATGATGAGGAGGAGAGATGATGATGAGGAGGAGAGATGATGATGAGGAGAGATGATGATGATGAGGAGGAGAGATGATGATGATGAGAGATGATGAGGAGGAGAGATGATGAGGAGGAGAGATGATGATGAGGAGGAGAGATGATGAAGAGAGATGATGATGATGATGAGGAGAGATGATGATGAGGAGGAGAGATGATGATGAGGAGGAGAGATGATGAGGAGGAGAGATGATGATGATGAGGAGAGATGATGATGAGGAGGAGAGATGATGATGAGGAGGAGAGATGATGATGAGGAGAGATGATGATGAGGAGGAGAGATGATGAGGAGGAGAGATGATGAGGAGGAGAGATGATGATGAGGAGGAGAGATGATGATGAGGAGCGATGATGATGATGAGGAGCGATGATGATGATGAGGAGAGATGATGATGATGAGGAGAGATGATGATGAGGAGGAGAGATGATGATGCGGAGCGATGATGATGATGAGGAGAGATGATGATGATGAGGAGAGATGATGATGAGGAGGAGAGATGATGATGATGATGAGGAGAGATGATGATGAGGAGGAGAGATGATGAAGAGAGATGATGATGAGGAGAGATGATGATGAGGAGGAGAGATGATGAGGAGGAGAGATGATGATGAGGAGGAGAGATGATGATGAGGAGGAGAGATGATGATGAGGAGGAGAGATGATGATGAGGAGGAGAGATGATGATGAGGAGGAGAGATGATGATGAGGAGAGATGATGATGATGAGGAGAGATGATGATGATGAGGAGAGATGATGATGAGGAGAGATGATGATGATGAGGAGAGATGATGATGAGGAGGAGAGATGATGATGAGGAGGAGAGATGATGATGAGGAGGAGAGATGATGATGATGAGGAGAGATGATGATGATGAGGAGAGATGATGAGGAGGAGAGATGATGATGATGAGGAGAGATGATGATGATGAGGAGAGATGATGATGAGGAGGAGAGATGATGATGAGGAGGAGAGATGATGATGAGGAGAGATGATGATGATGAGGAGAGATGATGATGATGAGGAGAGATGATGATGAGGAGAGATGATGATGAGGAGGAGAGATGATGAGGAGATGATAATGAGAGATGATGATCAGGAGAGATGAGGATGATGAGGAGAGATGATGATGATGATGAGGAGAGATGATGATGATGAGGGGAGATGATGATGAGGAGAGATGAGGAGGAGGAGAGATGAGGAGGAGAGATGATGATGAGGAAGAGAGATGATGATGATGAGGAGAGATGATGATGAGGCGAGTGATGATGATGAGGGGAGATAGTGAGGAGAGATGATGAGGAGGAGAGATGATGATGAGAGATGATGAGGAGGAGGAGAGATGATGAGGAGATGATAATGAGAGATGATGATCAGGAGAGATGAGGATGAGGAGGAGATGATGATGAGAGATGAGGAGAGATGATGATGATGAGGGGAGATGATGATGAGGGGAGATGATGATGAGGAGAGATGAGGAGGAGGAGAGATGAGGAGGAGGAGAGATGAGGAGGAGAGATGATGATGAGGAAGAGAGATGATGATGATGAGGAGAGATGATGATGAGGCGAGTGATGATGATGAGGGGAGATAGTGAGGAGAGATGATGATGAGGAGAGATGATGGTGAGATGATGAGGGGAGAGAAGCACTGATCCCTGCGGCACTCCACTAGTCACAACCTGCCAATCTGAGAAGGACCCGTTTATCCCTACTCTCTGCTTTCTGCCTGTTAACCATTCTTCGATCCATGCTAATGTATTACCCTTAATTCCATGCGCCCTAATCTTATATAACAGCCTTTTATGTGGCACCTTGTCGAATGCCTTCTGAAAATCTAAGTCCACCTATATCCACTGGTTCCCCCCTATCTAACCTGCTAGTTACATCTTCAAATAAACTCTAAAAGATTTGTTAAATATGATTCCCCTTTCATAAAACCGTATTGACTCTGCCTGATCATATTATGACTTTCTATGTGCCCCACGACGACGTCCCTACTTATAGAATCTAGAATTTTCCCTACCACCGATGTCAGGAGATGATGAGAGAGATGATGATAGGAGGAGAGAGGAGAGATGATGAGGAGAGAAGGAGATTAGAGACTTCTCTGTGTTTGGCTAATGGGGTGTTGCGGATGGAGAGTGGAGCCGGGAAGCAAAGGAGGTGTAGAAGTCAATGAAGCGAGAGTGGGATCGAGCGCATTGGGAGGTCCTGGCGATGTGAACAGCGCTACAAATTGTGCAGTAAATACCATGTGCTGTGTCTCTCCATGCTCTCCATGCTCCAGGACTCCAACCTGTACTACGATGCCGAAGTGAAGGACCCGTACTGTGAGATCAGCAACAATGTTCTGTTCCGAGAGGGCCAGACCCAGCACGGCCAGACCACCTACACACCACGCCTCATTCTCCTGGACCTCAAAGGTACACAAGCCTCCGTGTCGCAGCTGTTTTGTACTGGTGTCAGCCTGGCTCAGGCGGCAGCACTCTTACCAAAGTCAGATGGTTGTGTCAATGCAATGATAGGGAAAGAATGCTTTATTCAGGCAGACGTGAAAAATCCCTGACACCTCTTTATTGTGTCTCAAACCCTGACCTGGGATGCACACTGTAGAGGGAGCTTTACTGTGTCTGTAACCCTGACCTGGGAGTGTGGACGCACAGTGTAGAGGAGCGTTACTGTGTCTGTAACCCTGACCTGGGAGTGTGGACACACTGCGTAGAGGAGTGTTACTGTGTCTGTAACCCTGACCTGGGAGTGTGGACGCACAGTGTAGAGGAGCTTTACTGTGTCTGTAACCCTGACCTGGGAGTGTGGACGCACAGTGTAGAGGAGCATTACTGTGTCTGTAACGCTGACCTGGGAGTGTGGACGCACAGTGTAGAGGGAGCGTTACTGTGTCTGTAACCCTGACCTGGGAGTGTGGACACACTGCGTAGAGGAGTGTTACTGTGTCTGTAACCCTGACCTGGGAGTGTGGACACACAGTGTAGAGGAGCTTTACTGTGTCTGTAACCCTGACCTGGGAGTGTGGACACACAGTGTAGAGGGACTGTGTCTGTAACCCTGACCTGGGAGTGTGGACGCACAGTGTAGAGGAGCATTACTGTGTCTGTAACGCTGACCTGGGAGTGTGGATGTACGCACAGTGTAGAGGGAGCTTTACTGTGTCTCTAACCCTGACCTGGGAGTGTGGACGCACAGTGTAGAGGGAGCGTTACTGTGTCTGTAACCCTGACCTGGGAGTGTGGACACACAGTGTAGAGGGACTGTGTCTGTAACCCTGACCTGGGAGTGTGGACGCACAGTGTAGAGGAGCTTTACTGTGTCTGTAACCCTGACCTGGGAGTGTGGACGCACAGTGTAGAGGAGCATTACTGTGTCTGTAACGCTGACCTGGGAGTGTGGATGTACGCACAGTGTAGAGGGAGCTTTACTGTGTCTCTAACCTGGAGCCCCAGCAATTGGTAATGTTCTAACCTGATGTTTAGGAAGGTCTCATTGCTCTGCGGTAACTGATATGCGTGTGTTTCAGGAAGTCTGAACAGTCTGAAGCAGGAGGGAGTATTGTATGAGGGAAGGCAGACAGAGCCCACAGTGACATGGTAAGACCTAGACATACCTAACACTCCTCTGTGTGTGTGGCTCGGTGACAGCAGCTGTCACGTTCAGAGTACCGTTAACATGCAAGTGAAAGCCCTAACGGCTAGGGTGGTCCTAGCTGGACAAGCCGTGGGAAAATTTGCTGGACAGTGCTCTCAGTGGCAAACAATGTGGTTTTAGCTGGTTAGACTCCAGCAGAAACCTAACTCAAACATGGTGACTGATTGCCTGCTCAAAGATGTGGGTCTTAAGACGGGCCTTGAAGGAAGGGAGGGAGCGAGGCGAAGGAACTGTGGAATGGAGTTCTCGATGGTGGGGGCAGAGAGGCTGAAGGCCTGACCACCGATGGTGGGGCAGGTTGAGCAGGGTGGGGACGTGTAGCAGGCCGGAGCCCACTGAGCGGAGGGAGCAGACAGGCAGTTAGGTGATGGAATCAGGTTGGTTGTATCACCTAATTCCTCGGAGATTTGTGAATGAAAGTGCAGTCGATCTCTCTCACACACGGTGTCTCTCTCTGTCCTGCCAGGGAGGGGGGCGTTTCAGTGCACAAGGAGGAGCCAGTGAAAAAGAACCAATTCCTGCGTGATCTGGACAGACATGATGTAAGCAGCCACTTTACTGCAGTGACCCGTACTTTACTCCCAGCTGCAGTCACCTTCACGTTTGACACAGCAGCTTACTGCATTGAAACAAGGATTCATTGTAAGGTACAGGGCCTGCGTGTTTGAAAGCGAACGCAGTAGCCAATCTGTACAGCAACGTCTTGCAAACAGCCATAATGTGAATGAACAATTTTATCTGTCGAATTGTCGGCCAGGACACTTTCTGTTTTCCTGACAGTGCCGCGAGATCTTTAACATCTGCCTGTACAGGACGCAGACAGAAGCTGGGTTTAACGATTTATCTGAAGGCCGGATGGGGATAACAGGGAGATTGGTACATGACAGGAACATGACTGGAGCTCAGAGGTCACAGTAAAGCTGGAGGAGAGCTTTGAATACGTGATAACCCGTTGTATCAAATGCAAGAATTCTGTAGGGTGTTCACAAAGTCCTGTTACCCCTCACGTCCCTAAAGTGCACTGACAAACCAATGCTAACATGTGGCAGAATGATGTTCATTGTATTTAGAAGTTATTCAATCATATTCAGTACAACTGTTTAGCTGTATTTAGACATCCGATGGATGGATGGATGGATGGACGGACGGATGGATGGCCATCATTTTCATGGCAGATAATGATCGTCGCCATGTTCAGTACCACATCAGTAACATGGATGGAGTCAGTGAGGAGAGAGTTACTTGTGTCAGGCATTGTTACACTCCAATCATCTTCCATAGCAAATAAACATTCATTGTAAGAAAAAACACAGGGAGTAACAGGACTTTGTGAACCCATATTCTTTTGTCTCCTCATCTTTCCACTGGAGTTCCCTGGCCGGTCAGTGAAAGCCGAGGCTTTATTATAATGATAATAATAAGCCTTGCATTTAATACAGAGCCTTATCACGTCAAAGCGCTTCACAGGATACACTGTATTTTGTGGGCGAAACGTCACAGGCTTAGTGTGTTTGGCACGACAGTTTAGTTTTTTGACATTTGTGCACTCCATGTTACTTGCCTCATTATCTCTCTCTCTCTCTCTCTCTCAGGGCCAACGACACACAGACAGGAACCTCAATGGCGCGGCATACCAGGCAGAGCAAAGTGAGTGCAATGTTTGTGTGCCAACAACAACAACACATTATATTTACCCAGCGTTTTTCACATCAGGACAAAGGTGCTGGTCAAACAACAACAATAACTTGGATTTATATAGCGCCCTCCGCACCAGACGGCGTCTCAGAGCGCTTCACAGTAACGGATCCCGGGATTGAGCCGGGGGGAGCCAGGGGGAGGGTGGGGAGGAAGATGATCAAAGGCATGGTCGAAAAGAAAGGTCTTCAGCAGAGACCTGAAAATGGGAAGGGAGGGAGCGAGGAAGGCAGTTCTATAGCCTCGGGGCATAGCGGCTGAAGGCACGGCCGCCGAGGGTTGAGCGGAGGACTCGGGGGACAAGGAGGAGGCCAGACCCGGTGGAGCGAAGGCAACGGGCACTGTTTTGAGGAGAGAGGAGGTCAGAGAGGTCGGGGGCTGCAGAGGAGTGGAGGGATTTGAAGACAAGGTTGAGGAAATAAGGGTTGAAGATAAACAGGGATTTGGACCCGAGCTGGGGGTTGGTTTCAGGAGGGGTGGAGGGCAGGGAGGGTAGAGGTAGCTGGATGACTGAAGGCGCAGTTGAAGAGGAGGGTCTTGAGGCGTGCTTTGAAGGAGGGAAGGGAGAGGGTGAGGCTGTGGGATGGAGTTCCAATGCGTCAGGGCAGAGAGGCTGACGGCCTGACCGCTTGATGGGCTGGGCTGGGCAGGGTATGTGGAGCACTCCATCTCTCCATGTTACACTGTGCCATCTCTCCAAGTTACACAGCCTGTGTGCCCACCAGTGAGTGTCTTTGAAATGTTGCCTGCTTGTCTCTCCAGGAGCTGTGCCTCAGAGACCACTGGACCTGTCACAGAGAAACTATCAGTTAGAGGGCAGTGTGACGGTGTGGTCTGACTACCTGAGGGTCCACTTACACCCAAAGACTGTCAGTGTTGTCCATCAGTACAACCACGAGGGGTAAGTTAGCACTGTACAGCACTCAGCATCTCACAGTTCTCGTTCCTTTTGGACCAATTCCCCCCCATACACATACACACACCACTGCCATCCCACAATACTGTTTGTCCAGTGCAGTGCTGTATAGTCAGAGTTGCCGACCCTCAGGTGATATGTTAAACCGAGCTCCTGTCTCCCTGTCTCGTGGCGCTATTGGAAAAGAGGGGACTTTCTCTCTCTCTCTCCCGCTGTCCTGGCCGACAGATAAAACTGCATGGCTGCGCGCAAACTATATCCTGTGAAGCGCTTTGAGACATCTCAACGACATGATAAGGTGCGATATCAAATGCAAGGATTATTGTTATTATTAAGAGCCTGTGTTTTTGTTGCAGGGACTCTGATCGCTTCGAAGCCTTCGGCCAGGGGGAGAAGCTATTCCAAGACCCAGCTTTTCTGGACGACTTTGAAGATCGGCTTCACTTCTATGTGGAGGAATGTGATTACCTGCAGGTAGGAGCGCAGTGGGCCTGCGCTCAGACCGCTCCCTCTTGTATGTAGCTCTCATCCCACAGATTATTATAATGTGACTGCGTGTGTGATTCTCTGTGGCAGGGTTTCCACCTGCTGTGTGACCTGCAGGATGGCTTCAGTGGAGCTGCGTCCAAGCTGTTGGAACTGCTGAAGGATGAGTACGGGGGCCGGGGGATATTCACCAGCGGAGTGGCCCCCACCTCACACATGGAGACAGTGAGTACACACAGCGAGTGAGGGAGGGAAACCTACCTGTAGCCCTGCACCCCAGCGAGGGCAGCCCAGCCCCATGGTGTAATCAGCACAGCCCAGCCCCATAGCCAGCCCAGCCCCGTGTTGTAGCCAGCCTAGCCCCATGGTGTAGTGTAGTGCAGGAGGCCAGGCCAGACTCGGAGTAGAGACCGGTGTCAATGGGGCAATGGAATGTGTGAATTGAGCCAGCCCTCTGTGACGGTCCCAAGTCTGGTTCCTGAGCTAGGCGGGTCTACAGTATTCCAGGGCACTGCCGATGACATTACAGCCCAGCCTATCTCATCGACAGGACCTGGAAGGGAAGACCAGTGGGGAGGGAGGATAGAAGGGGGGGAGGGATAGAGAGGAGGGAGGGATAGAAGGAGGGAGGGAGTCAGGGTGTTACAGAGGGCCAATCGAGCCAGAAGCCAGAGGTGGAGAGCTGAGGCGGGGAATAGAGCTGGAAGAGAGGGTGTGATTGTGAATGGGGGTGGGGTAAGTTAATGTTGGATTTCCCTCTCCCCCAGAGTCCTGTGAAGGATATTTACCGGCTGCTGAACACCGTAATGGGGATTGTGAACTTGTCCAACCGCAGCTCCATCTTCTGCCCGCTCTCCCTCAACGAGAACCTGCTGAGACGCCGACCAGCTTCCGCTGCCACCTTCCCTCACCTCATCTACAATGTGAGTCCTTCCCCAGCTCTGTACCCTGTCCACACAGCCCAGCAACAGCACAATAAAGCACACTCCCAGGTCAGGGTTAGAGACACAGTAAAGCTCCCTCTACACTGTGTATCCACACTCCCAGGTCAGGGTTAGAGACGCAGTAAAGCTCCTCTACACTGTGTGTCCACACTCCCAGGTCAGGGTTACAGACACAGTAACGCTCCCTCTACACTGTGCGTCCGCACTCCCAGGTCAGGGTTAGAGACACAATAAAGTTCCTCTACACTGTGTGTCCGTCCACACTCCCAGGTCAGGGTTAGAGACACAGTAAAGCTCCTCTACACTGTGTGTCCACACTCCCAGGTCAGGGTTACATACACAGTAAAGCTCCTCTACACTGTGTGTCCGTCCACACTCCCAGGTCAGGGTTAGAGACACAGTAACGCTCCTCTACACTGTGTGTCCACACTCCCAGGTCAGGGTTAGAGACACAGTAAAGTTCCCTCTGCACTGTGCCAGGGGTTAGGAGGCGAGGAGTGTAACATATTATCTTCATGACCAGGCCTCTGTGAACTACCACAGCAGTGCTGTGCTGGCGAGTGCCCTGGACACCCTGACTCTGCCTCACCGGCTGCATTCCTCCAACCTCTCGCTGGTGCAGCTCGCCAACGCTCTCAACGTCTCAGGAAGGAAGGTACAATGCAGACTCCCAGTGCAGGCGTGTCCCAGGCCATACGCATGTCAGACGCTGTGTGTCCCCTGGCTGTGTCCACAGTGAAACTCACTGGCTTACCCTTATCGTTTCACCCACAAAACACTTTCACTGCACTTTACAGTGTATCCTGTGAAGCGCTTTGAGATGTCTCAAAGACGTGATAATGCGCTGTATCAAAGGCAAGTATTATTATTATTATTATCCTGTCTTGCTCACTGAGAGCACACACCCCAGGAACCGGGTGGTGGCAAGTCAGATTGCAGATTCATCACCCAGGCTTTCACCTAAACTAACTTGATTTTTTCGTTCTGCATCTGTGTGTGTCTCTCTTTCTGTCGCTCTCTCTCTCACTCTATCAGATGGTCATGGCCTCGGCTTCGCTCCCTTTCCCGCTGCAGGAGGGCAGCACGCTGCCAGACGCGCTTTTCAGTCACCAGGGGGAGGTGCCCTGGAGGCCGCTGTCCCCGTGTGGGGAGCTGAGAGACTCCAGGTGCTTCTCTCAGTCCGTGGTACTGAGAGGGATCAGCAGGGAGCAGCAGGTCAGGTGAGCAGAGCAGAGCCCAAGCCTTTCGTGACTAAAACACAATAATACAGAACCCCCTCGTTCTCCACTGACGACAACAACAACTTAGTTATATAGTTTATATTTGGTGCGTTTTGCCCACCCAATGCACAGTCACTACACTTTACAGTATATCCTGCTTTGAGGCGTCTCAAAGACATGAAAAGGCGCTATATCAAATGCAAGGATTATTATTATTTATTATAGCGCCCTCCATACAAGGTAGCATCTCAGAGCGCTTGACTAATATAACATGCCCTTAGCCACTCCCGTTAGCCATTTGCCCTAAGGCGATGGAAGCAAAAAATGTTAGGAAACAATATCTGGGGATATATACAGTATATAGTTTGGGACACGACATGTCAATTGACTGCCAGGATGGTGGAAGATGAACTGGATGGACCTTGGGCTTCTTTCGTCTGGCAAATGGTTATGTTCTTATGTTAACAACAACAAAATTACATTAGCGCCTTTCATGTCGGGAGGACATCCAAAGGCACTGGACAATCAGTGTTTCAGACCCAAGATGGGTGTCAGGATTGGGGAGGGTGGAGGGAAGCAGGGTTAACACCATATAAGATAGGGACATAGGAGATTAGGTATATGACAAGTGTAAAATAGCGACTGGGGGATCTGAAGGAGAATTTAGGAGGAATTGCTCACGTAGTGAAAGGGGAGTGTGATTCTGGAGTCCTGTAGCTCAGTGGTTAGAGCACTCACTTCGCAAGCCAGAGGACCTGGGTTTGATTCTCGGTTGGGTCAGGGCAAACCTTACGCAAGTTTCCTTACTCCACACACACACACACAGAGACACACCCACCTCTGTTTACCAGCAGTCAGTAGGAACCCGTTTGTTAGTCGATTGGCAGATCACTTTCCGGGGGTAATAATACCTGAGATATGGGCGAGGTGGGTGAGTGATTCTGTACTGATTCCCTGACTTACACTGTCCTCCTGTCCTGCAGTAACCTGCCCCCAGGGGAGAAACCCCCCTCCGTCTTACACGCCTGCCCAACAGGAGACGAGGTGCTCGGCAAATACATCTACAGCCATTTCCCAGCCACACTCAGGTATGACAGGCCTGCTGACAGGTGCGGCTGTGTGCTCACGTGTGTGTATGTTTGTGACCATTGATGAGTGCATGTGCTACTGTCCTGTATAAACCCTGATCTCCCCTCAGTGCTGTCCATGTGGCTCAGACCCCGAGCAAAGTGCTGACTCCATACCCACAACTGTTCACAGCCGCCATCAACAGACAGGGACACCTGGCGGCAGCGGGAGCGCCATCAGGTGGTGGTAAGTCAGACTGCAGCATGCAGGTGGGACAGAGAGAGGGAGGGAGACGATCAGGGTGGGGAGCGGTCAGTTGGGGATGGGGGTTGCAGAGCTTGACGATTGACTGTGAAGTGTATTTACTAGCTTCCATCGGAAAGAACTATTGATGGATCTCTTTCCAGGGGTAATAATCACTCCAGAAAAAACATATTTGGTCACTCAGTCCACTGTTGTGCACAATTGGCTGCTACATTTCACCCACAAAATACCCAGTTTACAATGTATCCTGTGAGATGTCTTGAAGATGTGATAAAGCGCTATATCAAGTACAAGGATTATTATTATTTATGTACTATATGACTAGGTAAATCTGCAAATTTAGCCCCCGTGCTTGTGACTCCTAGCTCCAGATCATTTACGAAGATACCATGTCTTTCGCCTATCAAATTCCCCTGTTGTGTGTAGTGATTGTGTGTTCTGTTTGGTCAGGAGTGGAAAGTATGCCGGTACTGAGCGCCCTGCAGTCCTCGCCTGTGCTGCACAACGTTCTGAGGAACCTACACAAGGATGTGACCTGCCTCGACCTCCGCAAGTTCAACAGCTTCCTGTCCGCAGGCACGGAGGTGGATGACTTCAAAGATGCCCTGGAGGAGCTGAGGACCCTCTCGCAATGCTACAAGATGAACTTTGACCTAGACGAATCAGAGGACGAGTCTGACATGGAATAAAGATACCTTTGCTCAGTGAGAGAGCCGTGTTTAACCCTCTTACTCCCACCTAGCACTGTGACAATACAAATAACATTTACACAGCGCCTGCCTTTCACATCGAGAGGACATCCCAAGGCATTGGACAGTCAGGGATTTGGACCCGAGCTGGGGGAGAATCGGGACAGTGGGGGTGGGAGGATGACGGAAGGCACAGTCGAAGAGGAGGCTTTTGAGACGGGTCTTGAAGGAGGGGGTGAGGTGGAGGGACTGTGGGATGGAGTTCCAGAGGATGGGGCAGAGAGGCTGAAGGCCTGACCGCCGATGGTGGGGTGGGCTGGTCGGGGGACATGGAGCAGGGCAATGCCTGCTGAGGGAAGGGAATGGATGGATTGGTAAGGGGTCAGCAGGTCACAGAGGTAGATGGGGAGGAACAAGGCCATGGAGGGCCTTGAAGATGAGGACAAGGATTTTGAACTCTATCCTTTGGGGGCTGGGGAGTCATGAGCCGGGTGAGGGTGATGGGGTCACAGAGCCTGTTTCTCACTGAGAGCGAGTTACGTTTTTAATGGGGCAGTACGGCGTCGGGTTGGTGGTCAATCTTCCAGGCGTAGCGCGTGAACCCACAGCTTTTTAACTCATGATGTGTGAGTGCTACCGAGCGAGTGAGTCAGGCCGACACACAAATTCACTATCACTGCAAGCAACATGTTGATCTTTTTAATGTTCGAGTTTCAAACTGTGCTGGGCTGATCAGTGGCCTTACAGAGACTCCAGCCAGGACACAAAGAGAAACTCCCTGTCGTTTCCCACAGCCGAGAATTGTTTAACATCCACCTGACCAGGTATAGACAACTTCAGCTAAACAACAACTTGTAAGTATATAGGACATGAGTCCAGGTGTCAAGAAACTCTTCTCTATTGCACTGGGATCTTTAATGTCCACCTGAACAGGCAGATGGGGATGGGGTTAAGGTCTGATAATACAGTATTTGCCCCAGCACTGCACTGTCAAAGTCAACAGTTCTAACACACAACCTTCTGACCAAGAGGTCCCAACTGAGCCAGGCTTCACACAGGCCAGGAGGTTACAAACACACACTGGGCTGGTGGGGAGAGAGGGGATTACAAACCCACACAAGCCTGGGGGGAGGGGGGGAGGAAAGGTACAAACTCACAAGGGGTACAGTAAAAGGATGTAAAATTTATTGAAAATACTGACAAAAAATTACTTCCTAGCGCTGTTCCTACTTCTATACAAATCATTTTACATTATTGACAATAAGATTAAATGATACAAAGGTTTCAGCGCCTGTTAGCAATCCTCCCATTCCCCCCGGGGGGGGGGGACGGGACGGACAGGACACAACAACATTGCTCTCAGTACATCCAGTCCACACAAATCCCCTCCCAAAAGTAATTTGGAATTCAACCCCCACCTTAGCTGAACAGGATCAACATTCACCTAGAGCAGCTCTGCACCCCCCCCTCCATTGGGAAAGACATACCCTGAGATCATGAGGCCACTGACTGTGCCTCCTGCCAATACCCCCCCACCCCCGACAAGGGGGATCTTTAACGACCACCTGAACGGGCCGACGGGTTTAACGTGTCCTCAGAAGGGAGAGCACTTCCCCCCAGCGCTGTATTACAGCGTCAGTTTCGACTGTGATTCCAAGTTTCTGATCTCCTGACTCAGAGGCAAGAAAGCAAGTGACTGAGCCAGACTGATATTGTACAAACTGCGCAGCTGGGGGGGTGGGGTAGAAAGAAAAAGAAAACAACTTCAAAATGAAGACTCGGTTAAGGATTTTCCCTCCGACAACTGTGTGAAACCCAGAGGATTTATTATTATAATTTACTATTTGATCCAGAGCCTTATGTTGACGAGGCATCTCAAAGCACTTCCCAGTGAAGTGTCTGTTTTAGCCAGTAAACTCCACGAGGGGCAGGGAGATGGATCTTTAAATGGGGATGGGGAGGGCGAACAAGTAAATGCCGTTAGCAAGCCATGAAGCCAGTGGCAGGCAAGTCACTCGTCTCAGAATCCAAACTCCGTCCCATTTTCTCTCTCCCTCTCCATTCACAAAACTTCCTATCTGCGCTTTGAAGTCTGATCAGCAGCAGTTTTAGTTGTCTGACTGACAGGCCTGTCAGATAGTCCGTGGTGCAGTATCAGGGAAAGGGGTGGGGGGAGTAAGGAGAGAAACAAAAAATATTGAGAAAGAAAATAAAGAAATCCCAAAGCCGCTTTGCTATATTTACAGAGTCCGGGCTGTGGTAAGGAGGCCTCTGGTCTCACATGCAACAACGCAGACATCAATCGCATGCGTAAGTGGAGATGCCTGGAAGACACAATCAGTGTGGTGAGGGGGGGGCTGGGGGGAGAGGGGGTGATCGGGGGCAGGGAAGAGGACTTATTAAATTATACTATAAAAAGGTGCAATTTTATCTAGAGACCAGGAACTTCAAGTGGGATTTATGCGAGGTGCTGGGCAAGTGCAATTACTATACACACAGCAGCGAGTGTGAAGGGGAAAGGTCCCAGTGTGCACAACACAAGATACAATGTGGAAATATTTTAATTTACATCTGCCCCCTCACACACACAGCCCCAGAGCTTCCCTCAATAACCACTGGACCGGGTTAGCGAGCCAGGCTCTCTCTCAACTCTTAGTAGCACCCAGCTCGCAGACTGGAGCCCCTTCCACACTCCCGTGTACTGTCGATCAAGGGGACCTGCGGGAGAGAGAGCAAGAGAGAAGCAGGGAAACCCATTCAGTTCTCTTGCTTTGTATGTGCGTAGATAAGTAGAAGTATATGTACCGACCATTTTGTGTTGAGTTTAAAAAGTTCACAATAACTTTATATAACTTATTCATTTCTCCCCCCCTCATGAATTACAGCAGGCCTGCGATGGATGGTCCCCAGCCTCGATATACAGCGGACGGACACACACATTCACACACACACACACACACCCACACACGTGCAGACCTATCAGCCTGCCAACTTGCTAGTAACCAGTGACGACTTCCTCTGTGGTAAGTCCTTTGGCGTTAAGATGTGGTCCCCGGTCACCGGGTTCTTGTCTGGGTCGCTCGCCGGGAGTTGTTTGTTCTTCATCTTGGCTTTGGCCATGTTGTAGTCTCCAGAGTCAAAGTATTTTTGCTGCGGGAAGAGGAATAGAACAGTGTTAGCAAGTGCACAGCCAAGCTTTAGGTCCACTGTGGGCAATTGGCTGCTGCGTTTCACCGACAAAACATACAATCAATCCACTTTGCAGTATATTCTGTGAAGGGCTTTGAGATGTCTCAACGACATGATAAGGCGCTGTATCAAATACAAGGATTATTATTATATATTATATACAGAGTGCGACAAGCAGAGAGGGGAAAAGACAGATAAGAACAAGACATTACATTTACACAGTACCTTACCTTTCAAGTTAGGAGGACGTCCCAAGATCCTGAACAGTCAGGAATTGGACCCTAAATTTGGACCTGTTGGGATCAGGAGGGGTGAAGGGCAGGGAGGGGGACCTAAGGCACGGTTGAAGAGCAAGATTTTGAGACGGGTGTCAAAGGAGGTGAAGGAAGGGGCGAGGCGGAGGGACTGTGGGATGGCGTTCCAGTCGGTGGCGGCACAGAGGCTGAAGGCCTGATTGGCAATGGTGGGGCAGGCCGGGAGGGGGACATGGAGCAGGCTGGAGCCTACTGAGCGGACCAGTCAGTACGGGAAAGAGAAAGAGTCGGCATAAGAGAAGCAACAAGACTCCACAACACCTCGCAGGCTGCTTACCCCTTTGTACAGCCTCTTCATTAAGAACTCAGAACCTCCAGGCCGCCCCAGCACTGGATACTTGGCCTTCAGCTTGGCTTCCTCTGCCTGCTCCAGACTCACAGCACCTTTCTCCTGTGTGTCCTGCCAACAGCGGAAACGAACACTTTCTGTAATAATCCCTCCAAAAATCAATTCATAATATAGTCACTCAACTGTTTGTGGAACACTGCTGTGTGCAATTATCATAGAATCATAGAATGTTACGGCACAGAAGGAGGCCATTCGGCCCATCGAGTCTGTGCGGCTTTTTGACAGAGCGTCACTCTCACTAACCCCAATCACCAGCTTTCTCCCCATAACCCCACAAACCTGACTTCTCCAGATACCTGTCCAGTTCTCTCTTAAAAGGTGTTGGCAAATCGGACGTCACTGCCCTTTTGGGCGGATCATTCCAAAATTGGCTGCCACGTTTCACCCACAAAACACACAGTCACTATACTTTACATTGTACCCTGTGAAGCGCTTTGAGATGTTTGAAAGACGTGACAAAGCACTGAGCCAAATGCCAAGATTATTATTATTATAATCTGTGTCGCCCCCGAGTCACCACACACACAGACACACACACAGACACACACACTCACACACACTCACAGACACACACACACACACTCACACACACACTCACACAGACACACACTCACACAGACACTCACACACACACAGACAGACACACAGACACAGACAGACACACAGACACACACACAGACAGACACTTACACAGACACACAGACAGACACACACAGACACTCACACACAGACACTCACACACAGACACTCACACAGACACTCACACAGACAGACACACACATCACTTGGGGTTCAGGTGTTGTGATAATAAACCTCAGGGATTTGGATTTGTACAACAAAGCAGTTTTACACACACGCGCACCAGACGCACAGAGGCGCGCGCACGCAGAGACGCGCACGCGCACCAGAGAGACGCACACACAGACGAGGCGGGGGTGGGAGAGAGACGTTGGGGTAATGGCGCTGCCTCCCCTCAGCGGGTAATTGAACCTTTTGACGATGGGGGGAGAAAGGTGGGTGAGGAGGGGGTGAGGAGTAAATCACCTGCTTCTCTTGGCCGCTCTCACCCCGCGGCGCCGGCTCCTGAGTCTCTGACATGGCGGCCGGTCCCGGTGGTGTCCCGGTGTATATAGTAACAGATGGTGTGAGGCAGAGCTGTTTTGCTTTCTCTCCGGTTATATCTGTCGCCGACCAAACCGATCCGCAGCCAAGATGGCGGCCGCCACCCGTCTGTCTCTCACTGACTGACTGTGACCGCGCAGTGTGTTCACCCGCCCTCCCCGGCGGCAAATTAGCCCGACGTCACGGCGTCCCATAGCCCCGCCCGCCACTTAGCCCCTCCCCCTCCCGTGACTCCTTTTGCCTCTTCCGACAATGCATCACATATCCAGTCAGAGGCGGAAGGACGGCGTCTCCGATAAATGTTTTTCTCGCCCCCCCCCAGCGCTGCGCTGGAGCGTCAACCCAGACTGGGAGCTCAGGGCCTCCGACCTGTGTAAGTGCGTGGGTGGGTGTGAGTCTGTGAGTGTGTGTGAGTCTGTGAGTGTGAGTCTGAGTGTGTGAGTCTGTGAGTCTGTGAGTGTGTGAGTCTGTGAGTGTGTGAGTCTGTGAGTGTGAGTGTGTGTGAGTGTGTGAGTCTGTGAGTGTGAGTGTGTGTGTGAGTCTGTGAGTGTGTGTGTGTGTGTGAGTCTGTGAGTGTGAGTGTGAGTCTGTGAGTGTGTGTGTGTGTGTGTGTGAGTCTGTGAGTGTGTGTGTGTGTGTGAGTCTGTGAGTGTGTGTGTGTGTGTGAGTCTGTGAGTGTGAGTGTGAGTCTGTGAGTGTGTGTGTGTGAGTCTGTGAGTGTGAGTGTGTGTGTGAGTCTGTGAGTGTGTGTGTGTGTGTGAGTCTGTGAGTGTGAGTGTGTGTGTGTGAGTGTGTGTGTGTGTCCTGACAGAGTGCCTGAGTCAGGCTGACACGAGAGTCATCGTGAGACAAGAAACTCTCGGGACCAGAAACAGATGTGGATTCAGACGCTGGAAATCTTAAATCAGTTGTAATATATTTTACAAACTATGGACTACATAATCTAACAAAAGATCTCAGGAACCAACCGACCAACCAACCAACCAACCCCCAACCAACCAACCAACCCCCAACCAACCAACCAACCCTCAACCAACCAACCCTCAACCAACCAACCCCCAACCAACCAACCCCCAACCAACCAACCAACCCCCAACCAACCCCCAACCAACCAACCAACCCCCAACCAACCAACCAACCAACCAACCAACCAACCAACCAACCCCCAACCAACCAACAACCAACCAACACCCAACCAACCAACCCCAACCAACCATCCAACCCCCAACCAACCCAACCTCCAACCCCAACCAACCAACCAACCCCAACCAACCAACACCCAACCAACCAACCAACCCCCAACCAACCAACCAACCAACACCCAACCAACCAACCCCCAACCACCCAACCAACACCCAACCAACCACCCAACCAACCAACCAACACCCAACCAACCAACCAACACCCAACCAACCAAACCCCCAACCAACCAACCAACCCCAACCAACCAACCAACCAACCCCCAACCAACCCCAACCAACCAACCCAACCAACCAACCAACCCCCAACCAACCAAGCCCCAACTAACCCCCAACCAACCAACCCCCCAACCAACCAACCAACCCCCAACCAACCAACCAACCCCCAACCAACCAACCCCCAACCAACCAACCAAGCCAACCACCCAACCAACCCAACCAACCCAACCAACCAACCAACCCCCAACCAACCAACCAACCCCAACCAACCACCACCCCAACCAACCCAAATCCCCAACCAACCAACCCCCAACCAACCAACCCCCAACCAACCAACCAACCAACTAACCCCCAACCAACCAACCAACCCCCAACCAACCAACCAACTAACCCCCAACCAACCAACCAACCCCCAACCAACCAACCAACCAACCCCCAACCAACCCCCAACCAACCAACCAACCAACCCCCAACCAACCAACCAACCCCCAACCAACCAACCAACCAACCCCCAACCAACCAACCAACTAACCAACCAACCCCCAACCAACCAACCAACCCCCAACCAACCAACCAACCAACCAACCCCCAACCAACCAACCCCCAACCAACCAACCAACCCCCAACCAACCCCCAACCAACCAACCAACCAACCTCCAACTAACCCCCAACCAACCAACTAACCCCCAACCAACCAACCAACCCCCAACCGACCAACCAACCTCCAACCAACCAACCACCAACCAACCCCCAACCAACCAACCAACCACCAACCAACCAACCAACCAACCAACCCCCAACCAACCCAACCAACCCCCAACCAACCAACCGCCAACCAACCAACCTCCAACCAACCCCCAACCAACCAACCAACCAACCCCCAACTAACCCCCAACCAACCCCCAACTAACCCCCAACCAACCAACCAACCAACCCCCAACCAACCCCCAACCCAACCAACCAACCCCCAACCAACCCCCAACCAACCAACCAACCCCCAACTAACCCCCAACCAACCAACACCCCAACCAACCAAGCAACCAACCCCCAACTAACCCCCAACCAACCAACCAACCCCCAACTAACCACCAACCAACCAACCCCCAACCAACCCCCAACCAACCAACCCCCAACAACCCCAACCAACCAACCAACCAACCCCCAACCAACCAACCAACCCAACCCCAACCAACCAACCAACCCCAACTAACCCCAACCAACCAACCCCCAACTAACCCCCAACCAACCAACCAACCAACCCCCAACCAACCAACCAACCTCCAACTAACCCCCAACCCAACCCCAACCAAACGACCAACCCAACCAACCCCCCCCCAACCAACCCCCAACCAACCAAACCAACCAACCCAACCAACCAACCACCAACCAAACCAACCCCCAACCAAACCAACCAACCAACCAACCAACCCCAACCAACCAACCAACCAACCCCAACAACCCCAACCAACCAACCACCAACCAACTAACCCCCAACCAACCAACCAACCCAACCCCAACCAACAACCAACCAACCCCCCAACAACCCCCAACCAACCAACCAACCAACCCCAACCAACCAACCCCCAACCAACCAACCAACCAACCACCCCAACCAACCAACCAACCAATCCAACCAACCCCCAACCAACCAACCCCCACCAACCAACCAACCAACCCAACCCCAACCCCCCAACCAACCAACCAACCCAACCAACCAACACCCCAACCAACCAACCAACCCCCAACCAACAACCAACCAACCAACCCAACCAACCAACCCCATCCAACCAACCAACCAACCAACCAACCACCCCAACCAACCAACCAACCAAACAACCCCCAACCACCCCCCCCAACCAACCAACCAACCAACCAACCAACCACCCCCAACCCAACCAACCACCAACCAACCAACCAACCCCCAACCAACCAACCCCCAACCAACCACCCCCAACCAACCAACCAACCCCCAACCAACCAACCACCCACCCAACCAACCAACCAACCAACCCAACCAACCACCCCCCAACCAACCAACCAACCAAACCAACCAACCAAACCCAACCCAACCCCCAAACCACCAACTCAACCACCAACCCAACCAACCAACCACCCCCCAACCAACCAACCAACCAACCCAACCAACCAACCACCCAACCAACCAACCAACCCCAACCAACCAAAACAACCAACCCAACCAACCAACCAACCAACCCAACCAACCAACCCAACCCAACCAACCCCAAACCACCAACCAACCAACCAACCCCCAACCAACCAACCAACCCAACCCCCCAACCAACCACCCCACCAACCAACCCCAACCAACCAACCCCCCCAACCAACCAACCCCAACCAACCAACCAACCCAACCAACCAACCCAACCAACCAACCCCCAACCAACCAACCAACAACCAACCAACCCCAACCAACCAACCCCCAACCAACCTACCAACCAACCCCAACCAACCCCCAACCAACCAAAATCCCCAACCAACCAACCAACCAACCCCCAACCCAACCAACCAACCCCCAACCAACCCAACCAACCAACCCCCAACCAACCAACCAACCCCAACCAACCAACCCAAACCCCCAACCAACCCCCAACCAACCCCAACCAACCCCCAACCAACCAACCCCAACCAACCAACCAACCCCAACCAACCAACCCCCAACCAACCACCAAACCAACAACCAACCCCCAACCAACCAACCAAAACCCAACCAACCAACCAACCCAACCACCAACCAACCAAAACCAACCAACCCCCAACCAACCCCCCAACCAACCAACCCAACCACCCAACCCCAACCAACCCCCAACCAACCAACCCAACCAACCAACCACCCCAACCAACCAACCCCAACCAACCAACCAACCCCAACCAACCCAACCAACCCCCAACCACCAACCCCCAACCAACCCCCAACCAACCAACCCCCAACCAACCAACCCCCAACACCCCAACCAACCAACCCCCAACCAACCAACCAACCCCCAACCACCAACCCCAAAACCACCCCCAACCAACCCCCAACAACCAACCCCAACCCACCCCAACCAACCAACCAACCACCCAACCAAACCAACCCCAAACCCACCAACAACAACACAACCCACCAACCAACCAACACCCCAACCAACCCCAACCAACAAACCAACCCCCCCAACCAACCCACCACCACCAACCCCCAACCAACCAACCCCCCAACCAACCCCACAACAACCCCCAACAACACCCCAACCACCCCCACAACAACCCCCAACAACCACCAACCAACCCCAACCACCAAACCAACAACCAACCAAACCCCACAACCAACCCCAAACAACCACACACACCCACACCCAAAAAAAAAAAACAAAAACAACCCCACACCCAACCCAACCCCAACCCCCAACCAAAAAAAAAAAAAAAAAAAAACCCAACCCAACCCAACCCACACCAAACCCACACCCCCCAACCCCAACCCCACACCCCACCCAACCACACCAACCCCAACCAACCAACCAACCCCCAACCAACCAACCAACCCCAACCAACCAACC